AAGTCATCATCCTACAGTGGGGGTGGTGGGGGGAGGGTTCCCCACCAACAGTCTCCATCCAACCAGTAAGCCTCATCTCTTGTGATTTTGTCTTCTGTTCAACCTTTTTCTCCCACTCTATCCTGAACCTTCTGATGTGACCCTTGTCATGCAGCTGGATTGGAGCTGGGCACCATCTAGTTCTCCTGGTTTCAGGGTTGTGGAGACTACCTGGGCCATCAGGCCTTTGGGCTACTGGTCTCCAGGTGTCTTTCGATTGTCATCACCCTTCTTCCTTCTGGATGGGGAGCAATCGATGGTTACACCTTAGATAGCTGCTCAAAACCTTATCAGACCCCTCTGACTACTCACCAGATTAGAACTTTGTCTTGTGAACTGTTATGCCACTTGACCTTGGTGTCCCCTAAGACTGTGGTTCTCATCTCCCCAGGTTTTTTGTGTATGCTTAAGAAGCTTTCATAACTTTGTCCACTGTATGCTCCACCAAATTCATGGGTTTATTTGCCGTAAAAGTTAATGCACATGTACAAAATCCCCATCAAGCCTGAATATGTATTTGTGGGGCTACACCCATTCTCCCGCCTCATGCCTGTTCAGCCAATACTGTTTATCCAAGCAATCACTTGCATGAAATGAAGTTAATCTTGACCCACTAAATGGATCCCATGGTCTGCAGCCAAACTGGGCTCAGTGTGGAAGGGGGGCAGGGAGACCTGCCGGCCTTCCCCATGCATGCCTCACCAGAGGCGGCATGACATGGTGAAGTCCGCAGGGCCAGGCGGGAAAGCGGGCCAGCCCTTCGGGTCTCGAGTGGGGCCGAGGCTTGTGCTCTGTTGACTGGCATTCCCTTCGCAGAGCTCCATGAACCTGCCTCCCGACAAGGCCCGGCTCCTGCGGCAGTATGACAATGAGAAGAAGTGGGATCTGATCTGTGACCAGGTATGGACTTTGGGACCCCAGTCCCAGCTGTCACTGTCTAGGACTCCAGTCTGCCCTTCTGTGCCAGCAGGCCGCTCAGGCCGGTGGCTGTGACATTTCTGGACGATAGCAGCAAAGATCTGCGTGTGGCGCTGGGCAGCCTGCCCTTCCTTGCCCAGCGGTTCCCGCGGTGCTGTCTGGCTTTCTGCTCAGAGGGCAGTGTCCTGATGGTGGTTTATGTGGGGCGGTAGGTCAGCTGCGGAGGAGTCTGGTCATCTGCCCAGCAGAGCCTCTTTCTACCTTTCCCCAGAGTTAGGGCAACGCCTGGCAAAGGGTGATGTATTGCTCTCTGCTCTGACCTGGCAACTAGCAGGGGTTTCCCTCATTCTGTTTACAGGCCTCTAGGAATGGGAAGCCCCAGCCCCCTGGCCTCCTGCTACACAGCTCGTAACAGCTAGTGTTTAGAGCTGGAAGAGAATGTGGAGAGCTTTACTGAGCTCAGAAGTGAGCTCTGTCAGCACCTTGGCCTTGCTCCTTCCCCCGCCTGCATCTGCGGATCAGCAGCCCGCCCCGCCCCGGGAGCTGAGCTGGGGCAGCCTGGGTGCGGGACCAGGAGAAACTGCCTTCGCCCCTCCCTTCTCGGGAGGCAGAGGAATGCCTGCGGACAGCATGTGGGCAGGTGCCGGTCACCAGCACTTTGCCAGAGAGCCTATTGTAAGCTTCTTTTCACGTTGTGGACAAAATAACAATAAACATCAAAACCAAACTCGCTGCCGGCGAGTCAATTCTGACTCATAGTGGTGACTCCAGAGGACAGGGTCGAACTGTCCTGTGACTTCCAACTTTTTAACAGGATTAGGAAACCTAATTTTTGACCTCTACGGAACAGCTGGTGGATTCAAACCGCTGACTCAGGTTAACAGCCCAGCGCATAATCCCCTGCATGGAAACAACGTTGTTGCTAGGGGCTGCGGAGTCATTGCCAGCTCATCACCACCTTACGCACCACAGAGGGAATCCTGGCGGGTCCTGCCCGTCTCCACCGCTGTTCCTCAGCTCGAAGCCCGTGCTGCAGCCATGGTGTCCATCCAGCCCCTCGAGGGCTGCCCTCCACTTTACCCTGACGCCCTCCTCCGGGAACTGGTCTCTCCTGACAGCGTGTCCAAAGCCTGTCAGACAAGTCTCACTGTCCTCGCCGGCCGTGGTTTGCCCTTGTCCCCGGCACTTTTTCGGCATGCCCCCCAGCAGCACAATGCAGACACCTCACTGCTTCTCCAGCCTTCTTTTTCAAGTCCGGCCAGCACGTGGGGCAGATGAGGCCACCGAAAAAGCCATGACGTGGGTCAGCCGCACCTTCATCCTCAGAGCGACCTGGCTTTTCCGCACGCTCAGGGTCTGTGCAGCAGATCTACCGAGGGCCTGCCTAGTGATGGCGGCCAACGCTTATTCAGGACGGAACTCTTCTATCTCCCGAAGTCTCTGACCGCACCCTCACAGACCAGTGTTTCCCTCGTTGGAGGATGGGTCCAGCTGGGGCCCCGGTATGACCAGGCACCTTATTGGAAGACTGACTGTCGCCACCTCGGCCATTCTGAGCACTGTACTTCCTGAGCCTGTCCCAGAACTCAGGTATACACATGTACCTGCTTCCCTTACAGGAACGCTTCCAGGTGAAGAATCCCCCCCACACATACATCCAAAAACTCCAGAGCTTCTTGGACCCCAGCGTCACTCGGAAGGTGATGTTGGGTCTGGGGGGGATGCCCTGTCTTGTGGGTGGGCCCCCGGTTGGGAATTGAGTGTCCGGGCCCAGAGTGGCTGACAGACACATCGTGGCAGGAGGGCCTGTGGTGACCCTTTGCGTCCCCTCCCTTGGTTGGTGCTCTGACACCGTATGGGGGCCTCCGTCGGTGACAGAACATTCAATGTTCGCAGAAGTTCAGGAGGAGGGTGCAGGAGTCCACCAAAGTCCTGCGGGAGCTGGAGATCTCACTTCGAACCAACCACATTGGGTGAGTTGGGTTAGGACCTCGGAGCCTCGCCACCTGGCACACGCTGCCTTGGTGTCCTCTGAGGATGGATGGCCTGGATGCTGCTGGCAAATGTGGGGCCTCTTTGGGGGCTTGGCCTGGGGCTTTGAGTGGAAGGTGTTCCCACAACAGCTGAGATTCCAGTCTACCTGTGGCTGAGGGCAAGGTCGGGGTGGCCTGTCGAAGGCTGGGAGTCCGGGGTGGGGGCACACTGCACTGGGGAGCTAAGCCTCCTTCCTGGACTGTGATTGCCCAGAAAGCCGATGTGCCTGTTTGGGAGCGGCCAGTGTTAGCTCGTGAGCAGCAGCAGCAGTAGCAGCATCACGAGGCCCTGAGAAAGAAGACCCAGGAGGGCGGGCCCCAAATGAATGACTTCTGGGTTCACAGACCCTGGTGTTCCCAACCCATGGCCAGGGCCCCGGGAACGTCGTGCGTATTTTTTGCGCTGCTGGGGAAGCATACCTTGCTGAGCGGGCAGAGGGGTCCAAGCGTGAGGTTCAGCGAAAGAGGACCAGCTAGAGGGCATCTGATGAAAGAGAGAGAGAGAGAGAGAGAGCATACAGGTGTACACATGGGACAGTGCAGCCCCCAGCCTCCACTGGCAGGGTCGAGCCTTGGCAGAGGGGCCAGGGCTGGTGGGGCTAGGGTTCTAGGTAGGTGCTAGCCCCAGGCTCCTGGGCTCCCTGGGAGCAGGGTTGGAAAGGGCCACCTGACATCAGCAGCCTTTCTCTCCTGCTCACGGTAGCCACCCACGTGCCCACCACCAGGCCGGGCCTGCCCAGAGCTCTCTGTAGGGTGGGGGCCCACCTGTCTGTGGCCAGCTGAAGCAGCAGTCACAGGGTAGTGGCCCAGGCAGGACAGGAAAGGGATGGTCCCTGGCTTCAGTAGCTGTGCTTGGAGCAAGGCTTCCCCGCCCATCTGTGAAGCAGGCACTGAAACACAGAGAGAGA